AAGATTTTTATTGGGGAATTGGGGGAAGGGGAACAGACAAGTTGCTATCCTTTTGTTCTTCAGTCTAGTTGCGGAGGACGTTGCTTTCTTTCTTTTTCTTTTCTTTTTAAAGATTTTTATTGGGGAATTGGGGGAAGGGGAACAGACAAGTTGCTATCCTTTTGTTCTTCAGTCTCACGGCAGCCCAACTCCAAGTTGAGCTGTTGTTCAGCATCTTAGCTGTAGAGGGCAGTGTCACTGGCCCTCATATGTGGGATCCGAACCGAGGCACCCTGGCGTCCCAAGCCAGCTCTTAACCAATGCGCCACTCGGCCGGCCCAAAATGTCCTCATTCTTAATGTATTTTGAAAAAATGTCCAACTGGATTTCTTATTAGATTGGATGTGGATTGTGAGAGAAATTAACTTGTTGCAGGAAGGGAATCACACTTGCAAATATCTCTGAAAATTGCAGTTTATTTGCTAGAATAATATAAGCATTAAAAAGAATCAAGTGTTTGATAATGTTGTATGGCTCCAATCAGAAGAGAAGTGTGGTCTTTCTAGCAATAAATAAAAACTCAGTAACTCTTCCAATGACAGATAAAAATAAATTATCTCTTGGTCTCATAGGCAGAATTACCTAATCATCCTAATTTCCCTCAGCTCTTTTAGCATCTTGAACTTTCTTCTCTGTGCATTTACTCAGCAGTTTCGTGGATGAGAAAATAGAAACAGGGAGTGTAGAAAATGCTCTTCAGAGATTTAATTGTGAAAAAGGAGAGAGAATCCTGGTGGTGGGACATAAATTAAGTCAAGGAAAGCAAATATTTTGTAAGTAAAATACATACATATATTTTGCTGTTTCTTGTGTTCAATTTTTAGGCAACAAATGGTAGGAACAGTCTCAGGCAATGTTAGAAGAATTTGCCTAAATGGAGGAGAAATACCATTCCCATGTTCACACTTAGTAGATGTCCCTTAAGATTAAATTAAACGGTTTTGTTTTAGGAAAAAGAGAGATTAAGATTTCTGTATTCTCTGTGTCATAGAAAACCACAATATCTGAATAAGTGACAGTGAGGAAAGCTAGAGAATAATGAAACAACTTTAAAATAATTGTGAAGGCTGTCAGAAAGCCTAGATTATTTAAACATAGTCTAGTAGGCAGCACTGAAGCCTTGGTTAAATGCTGTCCCTTTCTTCACTGGTATCTATATAGATGATAGATAGATAGATAGATAGATAGATAGATAGATAGATAGAGAGATGATAGATAGATATAGAGACAGATAGAGATAGATAGATAGATAGATAGATAGATAGATAGATAGATAGATAGATAGATAGATAGATAGATGATAGATAGATAGATGCACTGGTGTGACCAAGAAAGCAATGAAGTTGTCAGCTCTGGAGCCTGGCAGGGCAACACAAACATTACAACTATATGAACCTAGTACACATTGTTCTCTGCTCCCTGACTTCTCAAATGCTTTTCCTATGGGCTGAACTGTGTATTTGCAAAATTCATATACTGGAGTCCTAACCTCAAGTACTCAGAATGTGGCTATATTTGAAGATCGGATATTCCTAGAGGTAATTAAGTTAAACTGAGGTTACTGAGTTGGGTCTTAACTCAGGTTAAGGTCTTCTTTACTCTGAGGTCATAAAAAGCACGCTTCCATAATTTTTTCTAAGACTTTTACGGAATTTTTCTGTCCCACTTTTTAAATATATAAATCTTTCACTTAGCAAAAATTAATATTAAAGAAAGCTATGAGAGATACCACCAATGGTTTTATTTCCCCCAAATGTTCAATCAGTTGATCTAGCACCATTTCATTTGTGAAATAATTTAAATTTCCTCACTGATTTGCAAGTTACCTTTATCATAAAAACCATGATTATTTAGATCTATTTCTGGCCTTCCTTTGATAGTCTGTTTACCTGTCTGTGATATATGTGTGTGTGTTTTAATATTTCACAGGGCTTATTGTCCCTAATTACTGTACTTAAAAATTTTTTAAATTTATTTTTCAAAATATAATATAAATAGCATATAAATAAAACCATATATCTTTGGAGTTCAGCTTCTTTTACTCATCATAGTACATTTGAGATCCTTCCATGGAGTTGCATGTGCCAATAGATAGTTTAC